TTTTTTGAGACAGGGTTTCTCTGTGTATCCCTGACTGTCCTGGAACTTGGTTTGTAAACCAGGCTGGCCTCAAACTGTGATTCAAGGCGTGTACCCCCGCCACCTGGCCACTTCTCCATCTGTCATGGTACTTCACAGTCTATATGTTCCAATCATCTGAAAGTACTGTGGTTTGCTTGTTTGTTTAAGTACTGTGCTTTCTTGACTTCTTTACCTTTTCATCTTCTTTTCTCTTTTTTAAACTCTTCCTTAGACAGTCTTTATTTTTTCTCTTTTGTTAAATTTCTTAAAGCTCAGTTGAAGAGGAAAGTTCATAATAAGTCAAAGTGGCATGTAGGTAACAAAATAAAGCGAAGGAAACTTTCACAAGCAAAAGACAATGGCCAAACTGCTGTGAATAATCAAGTCAGGAGTAGTGATACGGAGGAAAGTCAGCCCACAAGCACAGAGCACAATGAGCTGGGAAACACGGGAGAGTCTTCCGTAGAAGAGAATGAGAAGCAGAATGTCTCCGAAAACAACCTAGACCTGAAAAATACCTCGAGTACCTCCAATATTGAGAATGAGCTTGAAGAATCTAATGAAATTACAGAGTGTACAGACTTGAGAAAAGAGAACATTGATTGCAGTGGAGATGCTTCTAGCTCCCAGGTCATAGACATTCCTGATGAAAATGAATCCAAAGGTAAGTCTCACTTAAAATCTTAAACCAGTCATCACATACCAGTTCAATGGTTTCTTGCTCTTTCAGAGCACAAGTGTTAACTAGGTAGAAAAATAACGTTATCTTTACTTGCCCTTTCAGCTGGTAGACCAAAACGTGTGTGTGTTAAAAATAAATAAAATCTTAAAAACTTCTATTAAATTAAGGAAAACCACAGCATTACAGCAAACTACTGCACAAAAGAGAATGGAAGCCAACCACTAACCCGTGTGCAAAGGGAGGGTGTGAGGAAAGAGGGAAGCGAAGATGCAGGCGCAGGCTTGTTTTCCTCCCAGCCGTATGCTTCAGAGGGGATGCAAAATGTGTTGAGTAAATGCCCAGTCCTGAAAAGACATTGTTTAAATAAGCGATACTGTAACACGGGCACCCAGTTTACTATTAACTTCTTTAGTAATCTGTATCTTCTTCATTGTTAAGAGAAAGCAGTGTCTTCCTACCAGTTTCAAGGTACTTGTCCAGAATCCCCTAAGTATTCAGTTGGAGGAATACTTGTTATGTTTTGCTTGTGGTGGGGTTTATTTTTTTACTTTGAGACAAAGTTTTACTAAGTAGCTTCAACCCTTCTAGAACTCATTATGTAACCTGGATTTTGAAGATCCATCTGCCTCTGCCTCCTGAGTACTTGGGATTAAAGGCAGGCATTACCACGCCCAGCTAAATATTTCTTACACTGTATGGCATTTTTTAACGTAAATGGCATGTCATAATCTTATAAGATTAACCCAGAATCAGTGTTTGTGTCCTAACTACATAGTCTGTTATTGATCTCGTTATTATTTGCCTTAGGCATTTTGTTTGTGAACCGAATAATAATAGCCTGATTTTTCACTTTAGAAATGTGTATTCTGCGAATGACTCGAGCTAGACGTTCCCAGGTAGAGCAGCAGCAGCTCATCAGTGTGGAGAAGGCCCTGGCGATTCTCTCTCAGCCCACACCCTCGCTTGTTGTGGACCATAGGCGCTTAAAAGTACGTCAGACTGAAATTACAGGGTTCCCTTGGCATGTTCTCTTCCTCACACAAGCGAGGAAGGATTGCAGACTAATAGTGCATTAGCTACATAGAGACTTCTCTTAGCTTCCTTGTCCTTGGGATGGAGAGCTGGGTCAGAGGTTAAGAGCTCTGGCTGCTCTAAAGACCTAGGTTCAATCCCCAGCACCCACGTGGCCTCTAGGCATCAGGCATGCACATGGAACACCTTAAATATTTAAGTAAATAGATGTCTTTAAAAAATGTCTGGCCAGGCGTTGGTGGCATATGCCTTAATCCCAGCACTCGGGAGGCAGAGGCAGGCGGATCTCTGTG